AATTATACTGTATTGATAAAGGATAAAAAATATGCCTAGTTAATTGTTATTATAGATATCTAGTATACATAGTGTTAATTTTAAGTACATATTTATATACATCAATACATAGTTTGTTGTACACCTTTACTTGTACCTTATACCAAATTGTATTCGTATTAATAAAATTAATAAATGAAAAATTTTAATTGCGTTTTGTATCAGCTGTATACCTATCATTTTGTTATGGGTGATAAATGCATATCAAAATAATATTTTATATTTATATAATTCATTTATACATATCGGTCATCGCCATGACCATGTAGTTGCTACAATCGTGTTTACTGTTGCGATTTAGGTACCTATGAATCGGCACGGGCAACGGATGAGAAATGAGAATAGATACTTTATACAAACGTTGAAAACGTTCGATTAACAATAATTCTACGAGTATGTGTAATATAGATATACATTTAGATAGCTAATAACACTACTGTTTTATCAAGGCTGTAGTCAAGTCAAGAAGGGAGGCATTGCTCGATAAGGGTCAAGACTCGCTAACCATTGCTTCTACTGACCTAATAAGGGGAACCTTTTATATTAACATTCTTTGTAAGAATTTTCATTCCGTTTTAAAAAAGTTTAAGATAATAAAGTGAGATTCTTTTTATATTTATTTTGTAATTAGCTTTTTAAGGTTTTAGTTATTTAAATTAAGTGGATTTTCTATTTTTTCTCAGTTCTGTCCTACCCATGGGCAATTTTATAAGTTTCATTATGGATTTCTTGGTAATTTAAACTCACTATCAAAAGAAAAAATTGGTACTCTCATATACCTATAATCTTCAAAAATGTTATTTTTAAGTTTTAATAATTAATTTATCTAAAATACCAAATTCATAAAATAATGTATTATTTTTTCAGTTTTATAATGCCCTCCTTTCCATCAAAAATTCCGATTGTCTCGAATGTGCAAGTCGGCTATACTCTCACGGGGATGGCCGACCCGCGGCCTGCTTTGGATAATTTTACTATGGGTACCTGTGAGCTTTTAGTCCACGCTTTTACAAAAATATTATGTTTATTTAAATAATGTGATATTTATTTATTACTGCATATTGCACAGAGGTTTTAACTTTATTGCTATTAATAATCATATGCATATATATACATAATACATGAACCAAGAAGTCTAGATAAATCTATACATACATTTTATATAATTATCATTATTAATGTTTTTTATAATATATAATAATACTTTTGTTAGTTTATCAAACTTTAATTATAAAATAACTGTAAAATCATAAAAGTTATGTATAATATACATATATATATATATATATAATTCATAATATGATAAAAATAAAATTATATTTTACTTATTTTTTAAATATTTTGTGTAACTTTAAAAATTAGTAATATAGGCCACATTCGTAGTTTGTGGTCCGCGGGTTGAATACCACTATCCACTGCTACAGCCAATTAGAAGAATTCGTTGCGACATAAAACATGTCTAGGTACAGTGGCGGATTAACTTTCTTGGCGCCCTGAGACACGCTCAGTGTTGTTTACCACCCTCTTTTTTTAATACTACCCAAAGATCGTAATTTGAATGGGCTAACATCGAAGAGTGACAGGTAGGTAATTGGATATAGCAACCCTAGAAGTGAAAAATGTTTCAAAGGTATTATGGTTGAATAATTATTAATTTACAAATATTGTATTACATATAATCTTACAAGTTACCAAATTACAATCTATAAAATAATTACAAAAATAGTATGATTGATTTATTGCAGTTCTTTCGAGCTTTTAATAGAGAAAAATTATTTATCTTTTTTATTTTTTATTTTGAGATAAAAATAATATAACATAAAAAAAATTGCCACCCTAGGCTCGAACTTCAAAAGCCTAGTAGATAGGTAATCCGTCACTGCCTAGATAGTTTGTGTAATAGAACGCAGGTACCAAGATCTTGATAATATTATGTTTATGATTTTATGCACATGAATATTATAGCATTGAATGAAATTCAGAAGAAAAACGATAAAAATTAATATATAAAACCAACTGACAGCAATAAAGTTTATTTATACCAAGACCTTGAACTATTTAATAAACATTTATTTTTTATTTTTAATAAAAGGCGTAAGAATGACGTTCTACAAATGTGTGTTAATATCTAGGTATTTCAATTTTCAATCGTTCAAAAATAAATATTTACGTACGAATATACAATAGTCCGCGGTACCGTACAATTTCCCGCCAAACAAAAGTGTTATGTGTACCTAAATAAAAAAAAGTCAAAAATTTAAAATATTTATATACTATAAAAAGTGCCAAAATATTTTGAAAATTATATCCTGGTATCTAGAACATGCTTATATGAATTGTAGAAAATTTTAAGAGGACGTCGTGCCCGCATGTGTTGTTCCGTCTTTCACACGTACGATATAGTAAATTTCAATAGTGTACTTTTAGTTTTTATATTAAAGTGAATTGACCTATTATTAAACTTTTAGGTAAGAATATTATCTCATTGGTTTTCTACGATATTTTAATTTTTAAGTGAGTTACGACTTATGAGTATGAATATAAATATTTGAAAATGTTCATAACTCACTTAAAAATTATAACGTCCTCTTAATATAATCAAGTGATCGGGATATTTCGTCTTCTTTTCATCACCTTTATTATATAATACACCTTCAAATATTTCATAACTTATAAGTAGAGGTCGGAATAATATTCTTTTGAGTCTATATGCAATCAAACTTCGGGTTGAAATCTATAAAAATTATGGATCATGTAATTCAATGACAAAGGTTTCTTTTTTGCTTATTTGAGAATATATTAATTTTATAGAATTTGGATATTTTGTGTTGTAACTTATAAGGAAGAAAATTATCGATAATATTATTTAACAAGTTTTTAGTCCGTTAATATTGAGATGACTATAAATGGAATAACAATATGGAATGAGTTAATAAAATCTTAAGTTAACATTTTTTTAAAGCTAAATTATAAAGTGCCTACCTATAATTGCTTAATTAAATAAATAAAAAAATTAATATTTCAGTAAACATAGAATTGTATCATAATTAATGACCTTTGCGGCTTTGCATATCAATTAAATTGTATTTTTTTTAAATATGAAAGCATATTTTGAATTTAGAATATATTACTGTAAAAGCATAGTTTTTGCATATTTAACTACAATTTTTAAAGAATATTAGAAGAATATAATTAATTTTTTAGGGGAATATTAGCATCTTATTTTGGCTATTTTAAGAGAATATTATTCTGACCTCTACTTATAAGTTATAATGTAATAAAAATTCTAACCATAAGTATGCATGGGTGGTAGGTAGACTTGCAAGAAATTAAGTAATGTTATCATCAGGTTATCTGTTTAAAATTAAGGATATTTTGAATTTTCATTTATAGAAACAGATCACCGAAAATTAGGTATTTTTTCTGTTAAAATATTTACTTCTTTAACAAAGTCCATAAAATTCTCTTAGAATTTTTTTCAATTTAGATAGCATTAATTATTAAGAAAAATATATCATTGTAATTTTAGAAATTAAATGAATTCAGTTTACAATCCCATTTAGTCTTCTGATTGATAAGCAGGGTTTGGATTCAAAGGTAATATAATCAATAAAAAAGCATTTAAAATGTGAAAAGGCCAAAAGGCATTTAATTTATAAAAAAAAGCAATTCAAAAATAAACTAAAAAATTTAATAAAATAATTAGTTGGTATTAAAAAAAAAATGACTACCATGTATTTAAATAAGCTATCTTCAGTAAAACATTGATGGTTTGGGCTCAAAATATTTTTGTATATAGAAAATGATCTTTCTATGTCTACCCGAAGTTATTGGAGCGTATTTTAAACATAAATAATTATCTAAATTAAGATTACTACTTATTAAATCGTCATCACTTGTTGTTTCTCCATTCCAAATAATTTTTTAACATAATATCGACAGTACACAGTCTTCACAGTTCATCGATTTATAGCGTAGGCAAAAAGAAGCAAAAATGCATTTATAAGTAAAAAGGCAAAAAAGGCAAAAAATAAATAAATACATCCACCATTCTAGATATTAAACGAAATACATTTTTTTATTATAATTATTAAAAAAAGGCTTTTAATTTCAAATCCAAACCCTATTGATAAGATAATAAATTTATAAATTAAACTATATAAAAAAAAAAAGATAAAAATAATTATTGAAAACTTTAATCTAAGCATAAGGAAAACTAAATAATATGCTAATTGATCAAAATTACTAGTATATTAAATAGAGATTAATAATAGACAAACATTTTATACACACATGGACAATGCATAATTAAAAAATGAAATCATCAATAATAACAAATTAATTATATATTCAAAATAATATTGAGGTAACTACAATTTCCAAGTACCATTAACACTATAATTCTAAATAAATTACTTTAACATTAAAGTTTATTGATGTAAAAATATATTCTTAAAAATATGATGTATTTGTTTATGTAATTACTAGTCTTTTTTAGAATTTTAAGTAAAACGATTAATTTAAATGCACATTAACTGAAAAGCTTAAAGAACAGCAATATGACTTAAACAATTTGTAAATAATAATAATAATAATAATAATAAAACAAATAACAACAATGATTAAAATAAAATTAACAATAAAACTATTTGGCCCCAAACTTGTGCTTTTTGTTAATATTATATTAACTTATCATACTCTACTTTGAAATGCAATAATTAGAATACAAAGAATGGTTAATTGACACTGTATATTTTTCCTAATGCTAAGTTACTTGTTATTACTAAAAAAAATAGTTTGGCATTCAAATAAATATTTTAAACCTATTAACAAATTAAGTCAAGTATAATTATTATAACAACATTTATAGTGCTCAAATAACAAGTATAAAAAATGAGCAGAAGCCACCAATCTAAGACTTTATGGCATATAATGATTATGATCATTAATTACATTTTAAATTGGTATGGTGACATTTGTTTTTGATTTAATTTAAAATAATGTATTATTGATCTCGTCGGTCATGTATATAATGGAAAAGTATTCTATAGTTATGTTCATAATCAAATGGAAAATTGTAATTTAATTTTTTTGTAATGAGATATACCCCACCCAAAGCAACAGTCTTTTCAAGCACCAATAAGGTAAATTCATCTACTATGGTCTCTTGCGAGTTGTGATGATGATCAAGTTGATTGATAAATCCTTCTTTTAGTAATCCCCAACTTTTCCATACAGAGCCAACACACACCACATGCAGACCACCATTTTCTTTGTGTAACTTCTATATAAAAATAAGACATATATTAGCAAATAATGATTTGTTTTTAATTTAAGTAATTTAGCACTTTTACATTAATATTAAAAATATGGATTTTTTAAAACATACATAACCTTTTTTCACAATTAAACCTAAAAGCTTAAATAGTTTGCCTTACCTTCTAAAGATGTGGTTATTAAATTATATTAAACATATTTAAATGAATATTTCCAAATATTAAGACTTAACTATGAATTGGTAATTTATAAAAAAGGAATATGTTGAAATAATTAAAAAAAAAAAAAAACAAGAAGTATTCTTTTATTTTTGATTAAATCACTGTTATTAATAAAATAGAATCAAGTTGTAATAATTTAATATTAAAATAAATTTTCATGGATACATTTTGTTGATTTTGAATAGTTCAATTATTAAATTAATATTATTTTTATTAATTTTTAAAGTTATATTAAAATATTATCATGTTAGAGATTTAAAATGAATACACAGTATAATTATATTTATGCTTAGGTATACCAAAAGGAATAGTAAAAAATGAATGATAAACATTATTAAAAAGTAAATTTTAGCAACATTTTTATTTAAAACAATGAGTTATTATTTTTTTTCACTATATAGTAATAATTTTTAAATTAAATCTCACTTTATCAGCACCAGGGTAGAGTGATTGTATAAATTTTGCTAACTCTTTTCCAGCTTCACTAAAGATCCACCGACTTAGTTCATCTCCATCTTCAGCTAGTTCTGATATGGTTTTACACAATTTAGCTATTTCTGATTTTTCTTTTTTTTCACCATAAAATACATTCAACAAATCTAGACTGATTGTAAATTAATTATTAGTTATTTTAGTTAATAGTTCTTATTCTATGATTTCGTTAATTTAAACTTAATTAGTTTTATTTATTTTATTAATCAATTACACATAAATATAAATGTATATATAATATTTTAAGTTTAAAATAACTTGTTAAAACTAAAATATTGAAATGTGTATTCACGATAGATTAAAAACCATTTTAATATATATTAAGTCTATATAATCTATTAAAATTGTATTCATTATAACATTTAAAAAAATATAATCCACTTTTAAGTGATTATTTAATATTTTTACCAAAAATAAAAACCGAGTTTATTTTAAATTCATCCAGATTAAGAAATATAATCAAATATTATTCTACATTAAACAAAAAATATATTATTTGTGATAAAATGTTAGATACTTAATATTATATTTTAGCAAATAAAATAATGGCATATACTTTACATTTTATCAATATTAAAATGTTCTTTAATTGCTTCCCATACTCTATCAATTGAGTAACCATTTGGAACATAATTAAAATCTTCTAAATGATCCATGCATAATTTAATACTTTTGAATGCTATCCAATAAGCTAAATAATAAATACACAATATTATTAATAAAAATATTTTCCACTTAAAACAAATTAAATTATAATATTTTTTAATAAAATTATAAAGATAACTATTTAGAAATTGAAATTATCTTACCACTGCCTTCATCACCAAGTAGATGACCATAGCCTCCACATCTTTTTATTGAAGAATCTGGATTTATTAGAAGACTATTTGAACCAGTACCAGAAATAATAACAGCTCCACCTTTAAAATAAAAATATTAAATACATTTGAATCATAATAAATATACATGCAATTCATACTATTAATCAACAACATAAAAATTAATTTCTATCAAACAATATTTTAAATACCTGATTCACAAGCTAATGCAATTGGTGCTAATGTATCACTAACAACAATTACTTCATTAGTAAGATTTGGATAACATTCTATTAATTTACTTTCAAATGTTTTACAAAATGTTTGATCTTCGCATCCACTTAAACTTAAACCCTATAAAAAGTAACATTTTATTATTAAATAAAACTTGTATAGTAAAATCACTTTTTAATGTATACAAACCAATCCATTTAATTTTATATTGATATTAAGATTAGCTTTCCTAAGAGCTTCTTTAATTAAGTCATTAACTCTGGACAGGCAAGGTTCAATTCCAAGAATCTGAATAATATACATATTTTTTTAATATTACATAAATAATTAAAAATAAAATAATATAAATATGCTTTTAACAGTTTTAACTGCAATGATAATTTTTTTTTTATTGATATTAACATTAATAATTATAATATAGATGTCAATATTTTTTACTCTGATATAAATGATCTCTTTGGTTATTGATTTGACAACTTGGCGTTAATAATCTTGTAATAGATTTAAAAAAGGGAAATTTAAATACTAGAACTATTAATAATCTTAAGTCTAAATATTCTTCAAAAAAATTAGACTATTTATAATATTAGTTTCTTAATTTTTTAACAAAATTTTGAGCTTTGAAAGTATAATCTAATCTATGAGATTAATTTACATTTTGATATCATTACACAAAAACCTTGATTTATTTATGAAATATCTATACTACGTAAAATCAATATTTATCTTCAATAAAAATGTAATCATTAAAGATAGGTAACTTTTAATTTATTCAGTGATAAAATAAAAAATTATTAATTAGTTGCAAATTTAAAAAAATAATTTTTATCGACTGAAGTTTATATTTTAAAACTGTAAAATGTAATTTTAAAGCATTATTTTAACTTAAAATAAAATAAACTAAAACATATACCTAATATATTATGTTAAATAAGCATAATGAAATTTATATTTACATATCTTGGTGATTAGGTCTTTTACTGTTTTTGTTGTGGTATTTAAAATTAACAAATTTTAAATAAAAGGTATATTATTATACCCATTATATATATATATATATATGTTTTCTTATCACTTATCTAACAATTGTTTGTAAAAAACTGAGCCTTTTAAGATTTTTCAATTAGTTTATTATATTTTGTTTATTTTATTATCAAAACTAAAATTCATAATTTTTTTAAATAGGTGATTGACATTGTGATGATAACTTGTACCTAAGTAAAAATGAAATATCATAACTAGGAATACATTAATTGATAATGGTCTAAATCATATTTACTTTTTTAATTAATTGAAATTAGCAGCTGTATTCCCCATACAGTATTGTTCAATATCTTATTAACTCTAATGAATTTTTTTTTCATAAAAAAAATAATTGAAATGAAGGAAATAATAACTAAATGTATGCATACATTAAGAGAAAAGTGAAATTTTAAAAAGTATAGTTCTTATTTAAAAATAAATAATAATAATATAGATTTTACATTATTTTTATTATAATATAATAAAAACTAGTAAAGAAAAGTTTTAATTTAAACTATGAATTAAATGTCTTAAACACGGTTTATTATTTGGTAAATTATTATAAAGTTATAATTAAAGTAGTTTGTAGGTCTAGGCTAATTATATCTATGTGATATGATATGAAAAAATAAAATAAAAATAATAATGTAATATGTTGATATATAATAAAGACATGTACCTTTTAAAATATAAAGTATATTACCTATAACAATAAAGTATAATTATGTAAACCAAACTGTATTTTAAATTTTATAATTTAAAAAATAAGAATAAGTATCTCCTTTTGTTTAAAAAAATATCAGATTTCTGTTATTTTATAAGTATAAGTAATAAATACTTACCCACGGGTTTGTGCCTTCTCCTTTAAGTTCAGCTAAAATATCTCCTTTGCCATTGGTTAAGACGACCGTGGAAACCGATGCTCCCCTATAATGCGCAAAAAATACGTGTATTAGTATTACAGTGATGCGGCAGTTGGGAAGACGAATTTTAAATTAATATATATATTTTAACGTAGACTTACCCTTCGATACCACCAAAAAACGCGTCAGTCATAATGCAGTCAGCAAGAGGAGGAATAACAAAAATGCAAAAAGACCGTTCTGGCCGAGGAAATAATGATAAAAGCAAAAACAGGTAAAACGAGTTGTGCGTAAATCAAATTAACGCGGAGAGATACGCGATTGCGTGTACAATCGCTTCAAGAATATATTAAATAATATAATATATATACGTCTTTGTTGCGTAAAACTACCGAAGGCAAACACGCGCGTGAGTTTAGGTAAGTAGGTACTTCTTTTACAACTATTCCGTCGTACGATATAATGTCATCACAATAACAATATAACGTGTGTTTAATATTATTTTTTGTATGTCGGATACGTACGATACGAATAACTGTAATAAGAGTAACGATTAAAATACGCGTAAAAGTTTTGGCGACTTCGAGGACCGCGAGCAACAACGTGGAGACGGCGACGGTGCGATACTACGAGTGCGGCTACAAGTCTACTACGTACTACGCGATAAGTACTACGCTGTACTGCCTGTACTACAACATTAGTCACTACACGCAGACACGTCAACGAACTTACTGAGTAAAAATAATAATGATGAAAATAATAAATCCATCAATTATTTATTTAAATATATACAAGTTTGTTATTAAAGCGTCGACGGCGATAAGTCTTGATAACGTTGCGGCGAAAACACGTTATTCGGCCGATATCACGTTAATCGGCATTCGGCGGCGAATATAACGCTTTCGTAATGGCAATACAATATTATAATGTGATAGAGTAGCGCCGTCGTAACGGTAGTGGTAGCAGTATAGTGTAACCGTAGTATATGGTAGCGGTATAGGCTCTCTCGTGCCGTTCGGTGGGGTGGTTGGCAGTAGCTACTATATAGCTAGAGTTTGGCCGGCAGATCGAGAACAAACTACAAGTGGTCCGATGCCCACGAATTTCGGTTCGGTCGTCCCGCAGTCACAAGACTAATAATATACTGTCCGGCCGGCGCCGTCGTCTCGTGTTTTATATCGACGGCACTGTATAGTACGCGGCTGCCATAACATTATAGTTATGCCGATCCCACTCGAACGACCTCTCAAATCCTATTATTATTATAATTATTTCGACTATTGTGGTCGATCGAATCGAATATGTCTTTCACAATACGCCAATCGTCCGATTAACGATCTCGCTTTCAGGAGTCTTTTTCCGTTCCCCACCTGGCGATCGCGTGGCTTAGGCCGTTAAAACAATATAAAGTGCTCTTTTGTCACGCACACGAGTCCATCAATGGTAGCGTTGATTAAAAAATATTGCACCTCGCACAAAGTGTGTAGGTACCTATCTATAAAAGTACAAAACAGGTAATACTTACTCGTGTAAGTACACACGATTGTTGCGCCGCAGAACAAATATAATTACTTAAAATGAATTAATAAATTCTGTGTTAATTGTGCCACCTATACGGCTATACGTCATAGCCATCACTCGCGTTATGGTTTTTTTTTCACGGTTTTTATTTAATGGTCAATTACTATTGGAGCCACCGCCCCGTTATCGGTTAGTTTAATGAACAAATATTGTGTTATATTTTTTTTATTTTTACCTCCGCGCCAATGTCCCGCCGCGGTTCATTCGCATTTCAAACAAATATGCTAAATCACCACAACAACGACCGCGTAATAATGATCGCTTTGCTTTTGCACGTGTGATGTAGGTATACAATCGCTTATAATGCTAATTTTTCCGCTATAACCTTTGTGTAGTAAGTAGTAACTATAAGCGCACCTAAATCATATTATAATATAGTCGTCAGCAAGTTCGACGTGACGTTTACAAGAAGTCAAGAAGTTTATATAGGTATATGCAATTTGTCTTATTTTTTTTTGCGGCAAAATTTTCTGTAACGTTCGTATGTGTTCCAATTACCGCGGTATACGACCGTACTTGTACTCGTACATAATTGACCACTTATGGAATAACGTAAATATAGACCTTCTTGCATCAAATTTTGGGCCTTTATACTATATTTACCCTTTAACTATAAATTAAAATCGGTTTCCAATTATAATACTTTAATTTGATAAAATTATATTAAACTACTAAATATAATTTTAAATATGTGTTCTATAAAGTATATAAATATCTATTAAATTACAATATTTTAATTAAATACGTTTTTTTTTAATTTTTGACAATAGTTTCTATTTTTTTTTGTTTTCGTAAAAAAAAATGTTTTTCTTATATTGATTTGCTTTAAATATTTCTAAAAAAACGTATTATTTTTATTTATTTCGAGCACTATTTGTTGCGATTCAAGATTAATTTATGTTCAACTATACTTCGTAAATTTTGCAGGGCTTTTATTAAATTCGGTATGAGAATGATTACTTCTTTTAAAGAAATTCCACTTTATTATTTAATAAAATCTCTTAATTGATTGCACGTTAATGTTTTATAAAGTATATGTTAACAAGCTTGAAATTATCATAATTATTATTTAAATTTAATTTTAATTTTAAATTAAGAGAACTCTCAAATTGGTTGGGCCTCTGGTCTCTATATGACGAGTCCAAAGATATTTGGGGCCCTGTGTATAAATATTTATAATATTATATATACTTTATCGTGTGATCCATTTAATGTAACACTCATTATTATAGGCGGGAGTGGTAAACTGAGTCCTAAATAATTGGATGGATATTGGGACTAGGTAAATTGAGTCCCGAGTAATAATATTTTTCGAAAATTTTTTTATAAATAACGAAAATTTACCTGCTTAAAAATATAAAAATAAAAAGTCTCTACATTCAATGAGTACTGTATAGTGACTAGTCACCAATTAGTGATAATCGATTACCGATTTGCAAAAAATTTCAAGATTTGAATTCATTAAGAGTATATCAAATACATTTTTACCATGTACATAATATGATAAATAGTATCTAATAATAATAATAATAATAAACAAAATTTGACTTAAATTTGTTTATTATATACATATATATATAATTAATTGTGATTTTTATGTACAACGTAGTGAGTTATATTATAGATATTAAAAACAAAAAAAGCACATTTTTAACCACGTCAATTATTTTAACATAACAGATAGTCTTAAGCCTGTAAAAGTGAGAAGGAAAATGTGATTTTTGGAAACTAATTCATGAACTCTATTTAAGAGTGATACAAAGATTTCCCGCAAAACAATGATCTACTGATTACTACTCAGCTCATCTAAACTTTAAACACTAATAACGAATAAACTAAGTAAGTGATACTTGTCTTATTGAAATTTGATTTATATACATCGAAATACTCAAAAAAATAATCTGTTTAATATTAAATTAAGAAATTATTTTGTCGTTCAAAAGTAAAAACTTTAAAAAAATATTATGGTAAAAAATAGTAATACAAATTGTTTTGTGACCATTTAAAATTGTGTAAAAAAATATTTTCGAATTAGTATTTTATGAGATAATGAATTTCTTTCATAAAATTAATCACTCCGTTTACTTGATATTCTATATTGTAATATATATTTTATGTCTGTACACTGTACAGGCATCTAACTATCTGAGTACATATAGATAGCCAGGGAGAAAGAAGTATCTATCACTGACTATAATTTAATACCTATGTTTAATATTTATATTATTTACTCGGAAAAGTAATATTTTAAGCGAGTAATTATGAACGCAATTTTCAAGTTACTAATTGCTCCGTTGAAAACAACAAGCTATAAATTATGGTTGTACTCTCGAAAGTGCATTTACGTAAAATGGAAAGAATGTCAAACCTAATTCAGAATTTTCAAATTAGAATATAATCTTAGATATCTGTGTTAATTGTTTTCGTTCCAAATAATTTAAAATAATTGACTTAGTAATTAATGTATGTAGGTATTAAAGGTACACACTATTGACTATTGAAATTTAACTGTTATTTTTAATACCTAATTCTATTTAGAGTGGTTCTTTTATCGAACTACATTCATTATTTCAAAATTTATTAATGTTTTTAAAAATATTTATTTACATCGAATTCAGTTGAAATAAAACAACATTTTTTAAGTATTATTTATCGTTATAATTTTCAAGGTTTTTATTTTTACATAAAAATTGAAATTTGAACAAGTAGCTTATGAATTTTAAGTATTTAATAATTTATAATTTACTCGTCCGAATTTCAATTTTTATGTATTGAAAAACACTGAAAAATATTTTGTTTTAGAATAGAAAATAAAAAATGTATGTTGTTATTTAAAAAAAAATAAAAAAAGTATTACAAAAAGAAATATTAAAAAAAATGTTGTTTTATTTCGACTGGATATTATGTAAAAATATATTTTCAAAAATATTAATAGATTTTGAAATAATGAGTATTGTTCGATAAAAAAATCATTCAGTATAATATCTTGAATAAGTATTATTATTGTTTACTTATACTTACTAAATCCTTAAAATAGTGTACTTACCTATACAATTGTTTTAAGTTTTATATTACTACAAGAGATATCGATTTTAAATCAATGATGTACAATGCAATGTCGTTTATTTTATTGTCTATACAAGTATTAAGACATATACGGCATTTACGGTGTTTCATTGTCTGATGTTTAGACAACGTCATACCTAAGGCTTGTTATCTTTGTCTCTCACACGTGTAAAACATATCAAAAACAAGTTCACACTGAGTAATCATAAATTATTGGTAAATGAATTTCGAGCTTATAGGCTTATTATTATAAAAATTTAAGAAAATAATACTTCGAAGGCATATTTTGTTGTTGTTGTATACCTACTTGTATTAAATCAAGGTTTAATAAATATTTGCATTTTTAGGTTTTTTGTTTTTTGGAATAGATTTAACTACAAATCTGTTGCGTTCACACATGCCGAATGGCCTACACATAACTTGTCGAAACCTTATCTGAAATAATTTTTACAATGGATAACGTTGGTAACCCAAGTCAAATTTTATTAAGCACAAAACGGTACTACCGATCATAATTATAAATAATAGTGTCATTAATATATCTATGTGTAATGATGATTCCAATGGCCTACTTTATTTTTCAATAAATTTAAATACTACCTCTAATGAAGCAGTATTTCAGCAACTAAAAAATCTAATTAATCGCGTAAATGATAATACCCAAACAGATAACACTAAACAAAACAAACAAATTCATTCAAATAATGAGAATTCCACTGAAGTGACAGTAAATCACCCAATGAGCATTAAAAACTTTCATTTAATATTTGTTCATGATATTGGAAATATAAACTAACTAACAACTAAATTGTTTAAATTAATCAATTCAAAATCTTCTTTTTTTTAAGCCCTTTATCAACAGCCTAAAAACACAAATAAAAAAAATTATCGATTATTTAAAATATAATAATACTTTTTCCACACACTCCCCATCTATAAGAAAAAAAATCAATTATTCAAAATTGTTATGAAAAAACTTACATAATATTAGTATACTACATCTTACCATTTTTATTGATGAAATAAAAAAATAATTGGAGGAAATTGGTTTTAAAACTCGTCAAATAATGAACATAAAACATAAACTTTTTAAAGTACCCCTACCGATGTTGTTTGTTCAATAATAATACTTCGATAGCTCAAGCCTTCGATAAAATTTGTTATCCTAGTCTCTTCCTAAAACTATGTAATATTCTCGTAACTTTTTACTTTTTATTTTTTAAAACTTACTTGAAAACAGTTTTTTTAAACTAGAGTAGGTAACGAATAATTCTCTATATCATATTGACGTAGTGGTACCTTAGTGTACTCTTTCTTCTCCATTTATTTTCAGTATATATATACACTTCCGAACAATCTACCTCACCAAATGCTCAACTTATGGATGACAAACAAATTATTGCTATAAATGAAGATTGCAACACCGCCTCTCCCCACCTTCAATCTCATATCAATGACAT